TGTCGCTTTAATCGTGACTTTAGTTTATATCGTGTTTGCTTCTCTTGACTTTTCTTTTGTATTCAAGGAAAGGATTGTCTCTTACAATGCTCCAGCAGTAGTCTGACAGCATTGATGGAGTCCATTGGCCTTGATATCTTTTTTCCATAGTGGTTTATTTACACACGTGCGATGCATAACTACAGTAAAAAGAACAATGTAAAACGATGTTTAAAGGTACTGTCTCAGTCTTCAACTCACTGACCCTCACCGTTCAAAAGTCTGGCCTTATATAGGGCTTTCTGGCTTTTGCACACGGCACTAATACTGTGTCATCAAACTTTCTAGAGTATTCTAGAATCTTCCATAGTGTAAGTCGCAACATGCATTTTTTCAACCATACGTGATCACGTGATTGCTTATATCATAAAAACTAGAGCCAATATACATTTTTAAATGTCATTTTCGTTTTCAGCACCCCAAAATCTTAAAAAAAAAAAAACAACTGTGCTGGTACAGCTGTACCAGGAGCTCCTATTTTGTTTGCTTTGCAGTTAATGTTTGTTTGCAATCCCAGGTTTGGGATTTTGCAGCAGGGTGGCTTCCTGTTATAGGCTGCAACCATAGGGTAAGCCACCTGCCAATTATAGTTAGGATCCCTGGTCCCGCCTCCTTTTTGCCTTTTGGAGGGAAAGGGCCATTTTTCAGTTAGTTACAGCAAGAGAAGCCAAGGCAGAGGATGCATACAGACATTCCTCCTGTCCAAAAGCTTCGTCTTTTAAGACTTCCTGGGGAAGAACAGATTGAAGGCTTCTACGGATTCCCAAAGGGTTCCAGGGAACAGCTTCACAGCCCTGAGGACCTCCAGAGGGAATAACAGCTCTTCATCTTCAGCTAAGTGATTTCAAGCCTGATGGTACGTCTGTTTCGGTTCTGAGACGCAGTTCAGCCGGTAGCAGACTCAAACCAGTTAGGTTTAAGTTCACAGCAGCTTGGGAGGAGCTTTAAAGTGGAATTTTTCTGTTAAAGTTTTCTTGAAGATAGTGCCTGTTTCTTGCAAACAAGACTGCAAAGCCAATAGACTTTAGAAACTTTACAATTCTTGCTTGTTCATTAATAAAGACTGTTGTATTTAAGCTCCAAGTCTCCTAAAGCCTGTTTAATAGGAGAAATTCCTCTAAAGGTTCTTTCTTGGGCCCCCGGGCTTCCCGCTGGATACAAGGCTTGCATCCTCTTTTAGAAGCATTTAATTTCGGCTCCAGCGGCGACAGCACAACAACTATTTTCAGGCCCGCAACTTTTTCTCCGTTGAACAATGTAATGGTTGAGTTTTTCCTGTTGTTGTTGTTGTTATTATATGGGACATGAATAATAAAAAGTAATAATCGGGCTGTGTGGAAGGGCCCTCAGTGGCTTCAGGGACAGAGTCTGAGGCAGGAACCACTACTAAGGCACCCTTTTTGAATGTTGAACTCCTTCCCTCTGTGCCTCCTCCTTGGCTTTCTCTCTCTCTTCCTTCCCACTTTGTTCTACCTCTCCCTTTTCCCCTCTACCCTTTTACTTCCTTCTCCTTCGCTCCTTCTTTCCTTCCTTCCCTTGTCCCTCCATTTCCTCCTTCCTTCCTTCTCTCCCTTTTTCCCTCCTTGCTTCCTTTCCTCTTTCCCTTTTTCCTCCTCCCTTCCCCTCTTCCTCCCTTTTTTCTCTCTGAATGGCAACAGCCTGAATGGAGCTCAATGGCAGGAATGGGGGCAACCATTGCCCAACTTGCAAAAGGCCAGGGCCCATTTCTTGGCCCCGCCCACTAGCTCTCTCCTTCCTGCGTGGCGTGATGACATCAGGAGATCTTCCCCCGCCCACTGGCAGCCTTGGCCCCGCCCCCAACGTCAGTCCCCACGTCGCGTGGCGACGTCACTTTCAGTTTCGTAGGTCAGGCTTGGCTCCGCCTCCTCTTCTTAAGGCGGTTTTCCTGGCAGGAATGCCGGGGGGAGGCGGTGGAGCAGTGGTGTGAGCGCTGCCTAGGACCCTTGAGGCACTGGGTTCGACGCTCGAGTCAGCCACCCCTCCCCCGCCCTTTTGGCCCTCTCATAATTATTAGGGGATTCTTATCATAATATGATTGATATTTTTTTTCTTCCTCTTTGCCCCTTTTCCTGCCACAGAGCCCCATTCAGGCTGTGGCCATTCAGAGAGTAAAGGGAGGGAGGGAGGAAGAGGGGGAGGGAAAGAGGGGAGGAAGCACGGAAGGAAAAGGGTTCTGGAAGGGTTTGGTGGGCATAGACCTTGAGTTTGGGAGTTGTAGTTCACCTACATCCAGAGAGGATTTCAGTGGCTTCTCTGTGTAGTCTGACACGGTGGTTGTTAGAGTGGTCCAGCATTTCTGTGTTCTCAAGTAATATGCTGTGTCCAGGTTGGTGTACATTATTATTTTAGATACTTTTGGTTTTATTCTGTATTGTATTGTTTATTTTATGCAATGTTTTAAAGCACATTGTGCCATATGTAATCCACTCCAAGTCTCTTTGGGAGGATGGGGTACAAAAGTAAAGTTGTTGTTTTATTATTATTGGTTTATCGAGTGTTCTGCTATGGCTGACTTTTCTGGTTGAATTAGATAGCAGAAGAAGAAATGCAACCTAGAACACAATTGCAGATGGCCAATTTTCTCACACCAGAAGCAACTTGCAGTTATTTCTGGATGTCATTATGCTTTATGTGACTGTTATCTTGTATTTTATATTACATGTCCTTTGATTTGCATTGTATTATGTTGTGAGCTGCTTTGGGTCTCGTTAGGGAGAAAAGCGTATTTAAAAAAGGAATTATTATTATTATATGAAATACAACATGATGAGTCCACGGCAGATTACACGTTGGACGCTTCCCAAGTGTCTAGGACTTTGTGATGTATCGGCGAATAAAGTGTGCAGATCCCAGTAAGGTGCCCTTTTGCTGCTGGCAGATGGAAATCTTGTCAGCACCGATTGTGTTTAAGTGCAGGCCAAGGTCTTTAAGCACTGCACCCAGTGTGCCGATCACCACCTTGACTGGCTTGTGCCAGAGTCTTTGCAGTTCGATCTTTAAATCTCATATCGTGTCAGCTTTTCCTGTTCACTTCAATCCTGCTGGCACCTGGGACCGCAACATGGACAATCCATCCTTTGTTTTTTAACACCATCATGAGGTCAGGAGTATTGTGCTCTAAAACTCTGTCTGTCTGAATTCGGAAGTCCCAGAGGAGCTTGACGTGATTATTGTTATTATTATTATTGTATGGGACATAAATATTTATTTATTTATTTCGTGTACTTCTACCCCACCCTTCTCAATCCCCAAGGGGGGACTCAGGGTGGCTTACAAAAAAAGGCACAATTCGATGCCTACACAATAATACAGAGAAACATATAAAAATAGCAATTAAACAGTTATAACAGTTAAAAACAATATATATCACAGTCAGTAAACCAGTCTCAAGCTCCGCGTTCGACAACTCAGAGTCCATACTTCATTCTACATAGTCTATTCCTATCAGTCGTCGTAGTCCTTTATTTATCTGCCAGATTGCCCAAACGCCTGGTCCCAAATCCATGTTTTTAATTTCCTTCTAAAAGAAAGGAGGGATGTCGCTGATCTAATTTCCCCGGGGAGTGAATTCCACAGGTGAGGGGCCACCACGGAGAAGGCCCTGCTCCTCGTCCCCGCCAATCTCACTTGTGATAGAGGCGGGGCCGAGAGCAGGGCCTCCCCAGAAGATCTTAAACTCCGAGGTGGGATGTAGAGGGAGATCCGTTCGGACAGATACGCTGGGCCGGAACCGTATAGGGTTTTGTAGGTCAAAACCAGCACTTTGAATTGTGCTCGGAATTGGATCGGCAGCCAGTGGAGCTGACATAACAGAGGGGTGGTATGCTCCCTGTATGGCGCTCCGGTGAGTACTCTGGCTGCCTCCCGCTGGACTAATTGAAGTTTCCGAACAGTCTTCAAAGGCAACCCCACGTAGTGGCTTCTCTGTGTAGTCTGACACGGTGGTTGTTAGAGTGGTCCAGCATTTCTGTTTTCTCACATGATATACTGTGTCCAGGTTGGTTTACATTATTTTATATGCATTCGGTTTCATTCTGTATTGTATTGTGTGTTTATTTTATGCAATGTTTTAAAGCACATTGAGTCATATGTAAGCCGCCCCGAGTCCCTTTGGGGAGATGGAGGTGGGGTACAAAAATAAAGTTATTATTAGTAGTACTAGCTGTCCCCTGCCATGTGTTGCTGTGGCCCAGTCTGGTGACCTTGAAAATATAGTAATGAGAAAGTGTTGGTTTGTAATATATGCAATTTCTTTATGCTTGAGGGTAAACAGTCCTTCTTTCTTTGTTAGTGTTGATATAGGGAATGTCTGGTTTGTCTACTTTGGAACATGGAACATATTATTGTCCTTCATTAGGGGTCCCTTTCAAATCTATGATATTACATCTATCATATACATGTGTGTGTGAATCATATATCTCTCTATATCTATGGCTGGATGGCTCTCTGCCAGGAGGGCTTTGATCCTGTTTTCTTGCCCTGGTGAAGGGAGGTAGACTGAATGGCCTTTAGCAGTATTTCTCAAGCTGTGATTGTGTTCATTGTAATATTATATTGTTAATGTATTCATATGTTTTATGTAATTATGATGTTGTTGCTTGTTGCTTCTGCTTTGGTTTTATTTTGCTGTAATATGTTGTCTGGGCTTGGCCTCATGTAAGCCACCCCGAGTCCCTGTTGAGGAGATGGTGGCAGGGTATAAATAAAGATGATGATGATGATGATGATTATTATTATTCGTATGGTTTTGCACGTGTTGTAATGTATTTTTTGTTTGTTGGTTTTTCAAGTCTCTTCCGCTGTGATTTTCAGTGTTTTTATGAGTGATGGTCACTCGGTGGCCTGAGAGGTGTATTGTGTCCAAATTTGGTGTCAATTCGTCCAGTGGTTTTTGAGTTATGTTAATCCCACAAATGAACATTACATTTTTATTTATATAGATTTGCCCGGCTCCGGGGAGAGGCAGCGGGCGGCGCCATGAACTTAGAGCGAGTTTCCAACGAGGAGAAGCTCAGCCTTTGCCAGAAGTACTACCTGGGTGGCTTTGCTTTGCTTCCCTTCCTGTGGTTGGTGAATGTTTTCTGGTTTTTCCGTGAGGCATTTCTGGCACCAGCATATACAGAGCAACTACAGATTAAGCACTATGTCCAGCGTTCAGCTGTGGGTCTTCTTTTCTGGGTGATTGTGCTCACCACATGGATCAGCATCTTCCAGGCGAGACGGGCCGGTTGGGGTGAGCTTGGCGACTACCTCTCCTTCACTATCCCCCTGGGCACCCCCTGACGAATCTCTCTTCCTTGATGGCCACAACATGAAGATTTTTAAGATTTTTAACTACAAATGTAACTGGACAATGCGACTGGGAAATGATTTTAGTAAGGAGACACTGAAGATTTATGTTTTTGGGACCTCTGGGGGGAGGTCATGAGGGGGTGTCAGAGGGGTTACCAAAGACCACCAGAAAATATAGTATTATCTGTTGGTTGTGGGAGTTCTGTGTGGGAGGTTTGGCCCACTTCGATCGTTGTTTGAATGCTCTTTAATTGTAGGTGAACTATCAATCCCATCAACGACAACTCCCAAATGTCTATTTCCCCCAAACTCCACCAGTGTTCACATTTGGGCATATGGAGTATTCGTGGCAAGTTTGGTCTAGATCCTTCATTGTTTGAGTCCACAGTGTTCTCTGGATGTAGGTGAACTAAAACTCCCAAACTCAAGGTCTATGCCAGTGTTTCTCAACCTAGAGGTCGTGAGGGGGTGTCAGAGGGGTTGCCAAAGGCCACCAGAAAACACAGTATTTTCTGTATTGTCAAAGGCTTTCATGGCCGGAATCACTGGGTTGTTGTAGGTTTTTCCGGGCTATATGGCCATGTTCTGGAGGCAATTTTTCTCCTGACGTTTTGCCTGCATCTATGGCAAGCATCCTCAGAGGTAGTGAGGTCTGTTGGAAGTAGGAAAATGGGTTTACATATCTGTGGAATGACCAGGGTGAGACAAAGGACTTTTGTCTGCTGGGGCTAGCTTTGAATGTTTCAGCTGATCACCTTGATTTGCATTCAGTCTGCCTGTGTGTTAGCTGGCCTTGATTGTTTCCTGCCTGGAAATCTTGCAATTGGCCATCTAGATTGGCACCTTGAAGCTTTGTAGCTTGAAAGCCTGGCTGGTTGCTGCCTGGGGAAATCTTTTGTTGAGAGTTATTATTATTATTATTATTGTCATTATTATTATTATTTTACTGACACAAAAGCAAAGTATGTCACAGCAAACAAGATCCATATGCTGGATTTCGTATCACAAAATCATAAGCCGAAAACTTCCCAAGCGCCTAGGACTGTGTGATGTATTTTCGGACGATGCGTGCACAGCCAAGTAAGGTGGTCTTTTGCAGTTGACAGATCGTGATTTTGTCAATGTTTATTGTTTCCAAATGCCGGCTGAAATCTTTTGGCACGGCTCCCAGTGTGCTGATGACCACTGGGACCACCTATACTGGTTTATGCCAGAGCCTTTGCAGTTCGATTTTGAGGTCCTGACAATGATTGAGTTTTTCCTGTTGTTGTTATTATTATAATATGGGACATGAATAATAAAAAGTAATAATCGGGCTGTGTGGAAGGGCCCTCAGTGGCTTCAGGGACAGACTCTCGAGGCAGGAACCACTACTAAGGCACCCTTTCTGAATGTTGAATTCCTTCCCTTTGTGCCTCCTTCTTGGCTTTCTCTCTCTCTTCCACTTTTTTCTACCTCTCCCTTTTCCCCCTCTACCCTTTTACTGCCTTCTCCGTCGCTCCTTCTTTCCTTCCTTCCTTCTTTCCTTCCCTGTCCCTACATTTCCTCATTCATTCCTTCTCCTCCTTCCTTCTCTCCCTTTTTCCCTCCTTGCTTCCTTCCCTCTTCGCTTTCTGCTTTCCCTCCCCCTCTCCCTCCCATCCTTTTCTCTCTGAATGGCAACAGCCTGAATGGAGCTCAATGGCAGGAATGGGGGCAACCATTGCACAACTTGCAAAAGGCCAGGGCCCATTTCTAGGCCCCGCCCACTCCCTGTCTCCTTCCTCCCTCCCTGCGTGGCGTGATGACATCAGGAGCTCTTCCCCCGCCCACTGGGCCCTCTCCTCCAAGGGCAGCCTTGGCCCCGCCCCAAGCGTCAGTCCCCACGTGGCGGGATGACGTCAGTTTCAGTTTCGTCGCCCAGGCTTGGCCCCGCCTCCTCCTCCTCTTCTTAAGGCGGATTTTCTCGCCGGAACGCCGGGGGGAGTAGGTGGCGCTGAGTGCTTGAACGCCGCTAGGCTGCAACCCGTGAGATAGAGGGTTCGGCGCTCGCCTCAGCTACCACTCCCCCGCCCTTTTGGCGTCACCACAATTACCCTATTACTATCCTATTAGTATTGTGGTGGTTATTTCTCTCGCCCTCTTTCTTTCTGCCCCGCTTTAGCTCTCCGAAAAGTAGGACCAAGCAGGAGACTCCCCCGTGGAGAGCAACACCACTAAATAAATAAATATTATCATCATCATCATCAATCGGGAGTTATTTTTCATGGTTTCTCTTTGGAGGAGATCAGCCAAGGCTGAGAAAGTGTGTCATCGTCCGGTTTTGTCTAAATACTTTCCAAGCGTTATTAGAAAGGCCAGCCTCAAAGACTGTCCAGAAGCCTTTCCTGAGTCAAACCCTGGCAGCTGGACTGTCCTTTTGCTCTATTATTATTATTGGTTTATCAAGTGTTCTGCTATGGCTGACTTTTCTGGTTGAATTAGATAGCAGAAGAAGAAATGCAACCTAGAACACAATTGCAGACGGCCAATTTTCTCACACCAGAAGCAACTTGCAGTTATTTCTGGATGTCATTATGCTTTATGTGACTGTTATCTTGTATTTTATATTACATGTCCTTTGATTTGCATTGTATTATGTTGTGAGCTGCTTTGGGTCTCGTTAGGGAGAAAAGCGTATTTAAAAAAGGAATTATTATTATTATATGAAATACAACATGATGAGTCCACGGCAGATTACACGTTGGACACTTCCCAAGTGTCTAGGACTTTGTGATGTATCGGCGAATAAAGTGTGCAGATCCCAGTAAGGTGCCCTTTTGCTGCTGGCAGATGGAAATCTTGTCAGCACCGATTGTGTTTAAGTGCAGGCCAAGGTCTTTAAGCACTGCACCCAGTGTGCCGATCACCACCTTGACTGGCTTGTGCCAGAGTCTTTGCAGTTCGATCTTTAAATCTCATATCGTGTCAGCTTTTTCTGTTTGCTTCAATCCTGCTGGCACCTGGGATCGCAACATGGACAATCCATCCTTTGTTTTTTAACACCATCATGAGGTCAGGAGTATTGTGCTCTAAAACTCTGTCTGTCTGAATTCGGAAGTCCCAGAGGAGCTTGACGTGATTATTATTATTATTATTGTATGGGACATAAATATTTATTTATTTATTTCGTGTACTTCTACCCCGCCCTTCTCAACCCCCGAGGGGGGACTCAGGGTGGCTTACAAAAAGGCACAATTCGATGCCTACACAATAATACAGATAAACATATAAAAACAGCAATTAAACAGTTGTAACAGTTAAAAACAATATATATCAGAATCATAGAACGCGGAACAATGGCTTCAAACTTCAAGAGAGGAGATTCCATCTGAACATGAGGAAGAACTTCCTGACTGTGAGAGCCGTTCAGCAGTGGAACTCTCTGCCCCGGAGTGTGGTGGAGGCTCCTTCTTTGGAAGCTTTTAAACAGGGGCCGGATGGCCATCTGTCAGGGGTGATTTGAATGCAAAGGAAAGGAGGGATGTCACTGATCGAACTTCCCCGGGGAGTGAATTCCACAGGTAAGGGGCCACCACCGAGAAGGCCCTGCTCCTCATCCCCGCCAATCTCACTTGTGATACATCTTAAACTCCGAGGTGGGACGTAGAGGGAGATCTGTTCGGACAGATACGCTGGGCCGGAACTGTATAGGGTTTTGTAGGTCAAAACCAGCACTTTGAATTGTGCTCGGAATTGGATCGGCAGCCAGTGGAGCTGACATAACAGAGGGGTGGTATGCTCCCTGTATGGCGCTCCGGTGAGTACTCTGGCTGCCTCCCGCTGGACTAATTGAAGTTTCCGAACAGTCTTCAAAGGCAACCCCACGTTGCAGTAATCTAATTGGGATTTATTTATTAGTAATCGAATAAATAAATAAAAATAATTACATTGCTGTGTGGAAGGGCCCTCAGTGGCTTCAGGGACAGAGTCTGAGGTAGGAACCACTAACTAAGCCACTCTGTCTGAATGTTGAATTTCTTCCCTCTGTGCCTCCTCCTTGGCTGTCTCTCTCTCTCTCTCCCTTCCCACTTGTTTTCTACCTCTCTCTTTTTCCCTTTCCTCCCTCCACCCTTTTACTTCCTTCTCCGGGGCTCCTCCTTTCCTTTCTTCTTTCCCTTGTCCCTCCATTTCCTCTTTCCTTCCTTCTTTTCCCTCCTCCCTTTCCCTCTTCCTCCCTTCCTTTTCTCTGTGAATGGCCACAGCCTGAATGGGACTCAGGGGCAGGAAAAGGGGCCATCATGGGAGAGCTTGCAAGAGGCTAAAGCCCATTTCAACCCTGGAGCACCTTGGCCCCGCCCACTCCCTGTCTCCTTCCGCCCTCCCTACGTGGCGTGATGACATCAGGAGGCCTTCCCCCCCCCCCATTCTTCCCCCGCCCACTGGCAGCCTTGGCCCCGCCCCCAACGTCAGTCCCCACGTCGCGTGGCGACGTCACTTTCAGTTTCGTAGGTCAGGCTTGGCTCCGCCTCCTCTTCTTAAGGCGGTTTTCCTGGCAGGAATGCCGGGGGGAGGCGGTGGAGCAGTGGTGTGAGCGCTGCCTAGGACCCTTGAGGCACTGGGTTCGACGCTCGAGTCAGCCACCCCTCCCCCGCCCTTTTGGCCCTCTCATAATTATTAGGGGATTCTTATCATAATATGATTGATATTTTTTTTCTTCCTCTTTGCCCCTTTTCCTGCCACAGAGCCCCATTCAGGCTGTGGCCATTCAGAGAGTAAAGGGAGGGAGGGAGGAAGAGGGGGAGGGGGAAAGAGGGAAGGAAGCAAGGAAGGAAAAGGGTTCTGGAAGGGTTTGGTGGGCATAGACCTTGAGTTTGGGCGTTGTAGTTCACCTACATCCAGAGAGCACTGTGGACTCAAAACAATAATGGATCTGGACCATGTATGTCCAAATGTGGACTCTGGTGGAGTTTAGGCAAAATAGACTTTAGACACAAAATAAACTCCCAGTAAATAAAATAGACAAGCTCCCAATAGGTTCCTTAGACAACAGAAAACCCCAGCTATATCGCAACATGCTAAAGAAACTGGAACAAAACGGAATAACAAAGATTGAGGACTTACTAAAACCAGACGGGACTGTAATTCAATGGGAGGAAATAAAAGATAAATGCGGGCATGGAAATTGGTTACAATGGGGAGGGCTGTCTAAAAAGCTAATAGAATTGAAGAATAAGGAAACCTCAGAAACAAATCTCGACAAAATAATAAAATGGAAAGTAGAGAGGGAGAAAGGAATCATGGGATTTATATATAACACAATCACCGATATACAATACAACACAAAATCTACCCTAATAGAAGTCTGGAAGGAGGAATTAAGTTGCAGTGAGAGAGAAATAGACAATTGGATTAATTCAATCAATAAAATAAAACACCTAAAGATTAAAGAAATGCAACGAAAAATATTGACAAAATGGTACAGAACTCCTGTGCAACTGGCGCATATCACAAAAACGTGCCCAAAATTATGTTGGCACAACTGTGGTAAAATAGGAACATATGCCCATATGTGGTGGGAATGTGAAAAAATCCAAAAGTTCCAAGAAATAATCAGGAAAGAAATGGAGGAGCTATTAGGGATCAAGATAGAATGGAATAAGGCCCA